GTTGATATCATGCTTATTTAATAGATGTACCATCACCTCATGTATTACTCTTTAGCATCCTTCAATTTATCAGACCAAATTGAATAAGTAGGATGACGATGTTTTCTAAATTCTCTCATCTTTCTCTCAATAATAAACCAATCCCAAGCAAGTGAAAGCTTAGTATCAGAGACTTCAAGAAAGAATTTTTTGGAAGTTACTTCAGTTGTAGAAACGTGAAGGGTAATATGATCTTGAATATGGTGAATGGATACAAGATCATTCATTTCAAGATTTCCTTCACTTTAGTTTCAATTTTGAAAACTAGAGGAGTACATGTTTGATAGTTAGGATTTTAAGGAAGAAGAAAGTAGTGAAAAGAATGTTAGAAGATCAAAGTTACCATTAGGTTAATTAAATCAACAAGGATTAATGGCTTTTTTCTTATTTGCAAATCAATGTAGGATTTACAATGACTACTTTTCTATTTGACAGTGCAATGATAACAATATTCACACATTGTAATTACTCTTTAGGTCATAACACCTCTAGTAGGAGCTAACAGAAAATACAACACATATGAGTATTTGTTTACACTTAAAAATAAATAAAATGTTAGTTGATAATGACAAATAGTCAAATTTAGGGTTATTCCTCTCAACCGAATGAATGTTAGGCAAATGTAAATCAACTGAATACAAGATAATCGAATCTTTCTTAAGCCCATAGTGTTTCACAAAGGTATTAGAGTACTAGAATCGGTCAAAGCATAATATAAATTTGACGTTTTACTTGTGTTTCATATCTATAATATTATACGTAGAGCTTCCAAAATGGGTTAGCCCATGAGGGATGGCCTCAAAGCCTGCTAGCATATATGAATTGAACCTTAAAATTAGTGTTTGAGTTTTTCCAAGGCTTTTTAGCCCAATTTATAAAAGAAAACTTGCTACTACCCATTAGGGCTAGCCAATATAACTCGAATTTAGCCTATTTGACTTATATAATTACAAATTCTAAAAATTATACTAATATTTATTTTTTCCACATTAAAAAGTTCTCTCACTTAATAAGTTTTATCTTTTCTATTCAAAGTTTCTAAGGTAAATATTATAAATTATTATAACAAAATTAATATTTAATTGTTTCACATTTCACTTCATAATTTTCTCATATTTTATTAATTTGTACTATGTTGGATATTTGTGTATTATTTTAAATACTTCAAACTTGTATTATATTTAAAAACATGTAATAATATTTTAAAAAGATAATATAGTACTTAAAATTGTATTATGTTTAAATTAATATGTTAGACGATATACTTTGATCTATAGAGGATATTATGTGAATAGATCATAAATTTAAAACAAAAAACTCTTGGCAAAATTTTGTTTTAAAAAATATATGGTACAACGAAAACAACCCGAATCGAATTGTCTAACCGAACATACTATCGAAAAGCTCAGATATGCGCGTGTGTGTGTGTGTGTGTGTGTGTGTGTGTGTGTGTGTGTGTGTGTGTGTGTGTGTCTGTATGTGTGTGTGTGTGGAATTAGGCAAAAAAGGATGCAAGAAAAAATAAGATGCAAAAGGTTACAGGTCGGCCTATGAAAGCAATAGGTCGGCCTGAAGAAGGCGAGCTATGGACAAAATTCAAAGGCTTCAATATTGATACGTGGGAGCCGACCTGTAGTTGTATGTGTCGGTATGTACTGAAGCAAAAGTATCTATAGGCCGGCCTATGCAGCTGTGTTTATACATATAAATTGGTTTTTCATGTGTATGGCATGCTTATGGCTTTTCAAAAACATTTGTATGCATCTTAAAGCTAAAATGATTCAATGCACATTTAAACTTTCATTGAAGAATGCGCTCACATACACCCCGTTTTTTATGATGGCAAAACTTGAATCTTATAACCATTACGTTTTTCTTTGGTACACTGAATAGCTCCCCCCGAAGTTGTGCCTAATCCTCAATAACCCCCCCCCCCCTCCCTAAATTTGTGCATTATCCTTTTCATAATCTTCTCCCCCTTTGACAACATCAAAAAAAAAAGTAATAAGTTAGAAGCATCACGTAGATGCACAATTCACATATAGTCTATACTACACAAAGACAATTGCAAAGAATAAGTGGTGCACTCACATAAAACACTTATGTAAAGAAAACAAGCTTAATAAATCACACAAAAATACTCATTTTTATTGATTTTAATTAATCATAATACAAGCATTACATCATTTCATAAACCAAAACAGCAAAACATCAAAACAAACTAAATGAAAATGCATGAAAACAAAACAAACTGAATGCATGACCAATAAGAAACGAATCCTAAGACATAACAAATATGACTCAAACTCTATAGATCACTGTCTTCCGCAACCTCCAGGGCTCACACCACAGAACCAGCTTTGACCATCGCTTCATAACTGACGGTCCAAGAAGCCACACATTTCTTAATAGAATTGTGTGTAATGATGATGATCTTCATTTTAGGCAACAATCATGTGATTAACCCTTGTAATGGTAGAGTCTGTATTCGCATCCATTTCATCCTTCAAAGAGACCAGTTTCTCTATGACAAAAGATGAAAAATCCTTAAAGTTTGCATCTTGGGTCTTCATAAGTTCTTCCATATTGCGGAGCTAAGCCATTTGAGCATCTTGTATAATCAGCCGATTTTGAAGAAGTGAAGTGATGGAGGCTTGATCTTTAGAAATAATGTGTACGGTGAATGTTTCTTTTGCATCGACAATTTCGTTTCAATGGCCTTATAAATGACCCTTGTTTGTAAACCCGACCAAGCTACTACCTTAAAGACCTTAGTGATCTTTTTGCTTCCACATTTTCACTTTTGATTGTTAGATATTGTATGAATTGAATTGATATTGGCATTGTTGCAAACGCGTAATTTCTTCAATCCTTATTCGAAGAGGAGAGATAGAGTGATTCATTCATGAAAAATATAGTTCTTGATTGATACATGGCTTAATATTTTCTTTAAGAATTTAGTTCTTGTGCATTGTTAGATTCTCAACATTTGAAACCATTGCTTGTTTGTATTCTTTGTGTTTGATCCATTTTATCCATTCTTGGGTGAATCTTAGTCTTGAGCAAATCCTCTTGTTTGAAATAAGAGGCATACTTTGCTTGAGGACAAGCAAATATCTAGTTGGGGAGAGTTGTGAGACGCCAATCTTTGCTTATTTTCTCTATCAAATATTGGCATCTTTCACTCTTTTGTAGGTAAAAGTGATTAGAACCACTCTAGTTTTAGATGATTTGCTTCATTGTTGATATATGCCTTGGTTGCTTTGATTTGTGTGTTATTATGCAGGAATTAGGCACAAAACAAGTGAATATTAAGACACAAGAAA